CACTCCGACATTGACCTTAAGAAAAGAGAAGGAAAGAAAATTTAAAAAAATAAATTTTGTTGAAATCACTTACGACGAATTTGTTTAATAAAACGTGAAAATGACTTTTGATGAATATTTTAAAAAAATATTACTTCGTAAGCATCACACCCACACCAGAATAAAATGAACTTTTACTTTAACGTTAAAGAGGAAACAAATTATATTCTAACGAAAAGCAAACAGGATATTGTTGACGAATTAACATACAATATTTGCATCTTCTTCAACTTGTGTACTTTTAAAATCTAAATCAGTTGATTTTAAATCAAAATTATAAAATGCATTCAAACCTAGAGCACGCATCAATGGATCATCCTCTTCATCTTGTAGCATAAGATTGTTGTTGAATTGTGCAATTTCTATTTTAGAATTTTTCAATAGACCATTTTTAATATTTCAAAAATATGAAATTCACTTTTACGTGTATTTTTATTTTGAAATAAAAATCCATTTAACAAAAGATTAGCTGAAAATCGATCAAGAGAAATTGATTATTTTAATCTTAACTTAACTCTAAAACTTCATCAATCATTTCCTTTTCTTTTAAATATCTATCAAGTTTATTATGTAAAATAGGTAATAAATGTTCTTCTTGACCAAGATCAAAATCATTATGAACAGATGTATAGGAGCTAATAAAGGTTAAAATTTAAGTGCTTCTGGCGTTCTAAGAAATTTAAATAATAAGCTAAAAATAACATGGCAAACAAATCTTTTCTTACTTTTCTAAATCTCTTTCTGCCAGTTTAAGATCTTCTGTCCTTTCAATATGAGTCAATTTCGTTCCAAATTGGAAAAAAATTAATTTCATAAATATTATTTTTTTCAGTAACTATCGATTTTTTATGTTCTACATATAAACTTACTAGTTTATTCATTGTATTATGAATTAAACAATTACACATATTTTTCAGTCGACTATTATCAATGCATGATTAACTGTAATAATGTCTTCACTCATTGTTATCATTCGTTCAAACATTAGTTGTTTTTCATCTCCACGCATGACAATATGATAATGCTTACTAATCAAATGCTTACGTACAGATGATGGAACTTCAATAAAAATTACCGATACAAAATAAAATAAATACGTTCGATTAATTCTAAATTACTATGCATATGAAGTGGTAATGATAATGAATGTTGTTGTTCTTTTATTTTCTGATTATTCATCGTATGATGAGTATCTTCTTATCCTAATAAATATTTTATACGATTTCCTAGTTATATATTAATTAATATTCTGTTGTGTTTCATATATTTCAAATAAATCTAATTCAACCATTGCTCGCTTAAATAAAATTTGTGTCGAAATATCAGGGGCAAATAGACTTTTGATCCCCAAAAAAATGGCTATTGATCACCAAAATGTGTTAGTTGCGAAATGATCACAAAAAAAAATGTATTTGATCACCAATTTGCTTTTTGTGGAATGAATGGTAGAGTTGTGGTAGATAACGTGTTTATCTCAAAAGACAACAGATTGATAAGACATAATTAAACAATAATCATAATTGAATCAAAATGATCTCATNTCCATTGTTTATTGTATTTTGTGTAACTAGTGTTGTTATTTATTATTCTATCTCTTATTGTATTGATAATAAATTCGGTGATCGAATATATATTTTTTGTGATCATTTCACAATAAAATAGATTGGGGATCATTTGTACATTTTTTTGGTGATCATTTCGCAACTAACACATTTTGGTGATCAATAGCCATTTTTTTGGGGATCAAAAATATTGCTACCCAAATATCAGATAAATAAATCTTTGAACGTATTGGAGCAAAATATTGGATTTAAATCATTACCTTCAGATAAAAGACATATTGCATAAACACTTGGTTTAAATTAATAGCATGAGACAACAATTCAAACACGAGCACGTAAACGTATAAGATAATCCAAATACTGCAAAAATTATGCTTGAACTTGAGCAACTAGTAGATTAAACAAAACTTCATATTTATTATCTTGTGACAAAGAAAAGAAACACACATTTCAGAATATTGATACTAAATGTTTCTTATGACAAATAATTGTTGTTGAAAAAAAGTTTACCTTTATATATAAAATGTTAATCATTTTTGACAAGTATGAAGACGAACTGAAATTGTTTGAATAGGGAAGTGAGCTTCAATTGATGATGTTAAAGATTTTAATGGAAACATTTTTTAGGCTGTTGTGACTGATAGGAAGTGTTGTTCGTTTAGTTAAATAGTATGAAAAAAATCTAGAACATCAATCGAAAAAAAGTTTTTTTTCTCTTGTCTTGTGTTTTTTGGCTCAACAAATTATTTTTATTCAACCTGTTTTCTTATAACGATACGCAAATACAAGAAAGATTATAAGAACACAAGTTACAGTAGTAATTACTGTTCTTGCCAATGTTATTTGACCCGATATAAATGTAGCAAGCACTCCAATTATGAGTGCTGAACAACTGCCATACGTCCATTTATGCCATGTAGATCGTATAGCTGCAGACACTAAAAGAATGAGGTATATTTATTAGAATAATCGACCCTGTTTAAAAACTACAAGAAACTATTATTCACCGTATAAAGTGTCAAAGAGTACAGTTGATTACTTTTGAAACTATATACAAACAGTAATACTTCTCTTTAGCTATTTCAAACAGAACCGATTAATAAAGAATTTTCCACAAGTGTGAGACTCAGTTTTGAATGGGATATATATAAATTTGTAGAACTCGACGAGCTGACCCTTGTGGTTTGCTTCTTTTCCCACCATACATCTTCAAATTAGAAAGTGATCGAGTTGACTAGTCAATGTCTTTTTTCAAAATAGTTTCGAGACATGTCTTGAAACTATTTCAGTGCAGAAATTCACTAGTAAAATCTATCGAGTTTTCTAATTTGAAGTTGTATAGGGAAAACAAAGCATATCCCGATAACTAGTTCGTCAAGCTCTACAAATTGGTATATATCCTATTCGAAACTGAGACTCACGCTTGTGGATGTTCCCTCGTTAGTCGTTAAATCCACCGCCATAGTGTTAGTTCAAACTCTGTGATAGTGACGTTTATATCTAATCAAAACATTTTCTCATCAAGTTTTAGTTTTTGTCTATTTGATAGCCAAGAAACATTCGCTACAATGATGAAGCAAACAAAAAACGTGAGAAGCAAAACAAACGAATAGACAAGCGGCAAAAAAAGAATACCCAAACAGAAAAGAGCCAGACAAGCAAAAACAATTGATGTACATATTGATTTTATTCCACTTTAGTTTTCTGCTGATTGAAACCAAACCATTCGCGTACGATATTCAGAAATTCTATTAGATACAAGAAAAGACTTGATTTATGATTGTATAATTCAATTAATGGATATTCACAAGATAATTAATTTAACTATCTCTAAGGTTTCTGTGCATTACTAAGGCTACCCATGTCGCCTCTTTTTTATCGACTGTGCCGCAGTTACGCGTAACTATGGCGCATTGATCGTAGTGAAGATTTCTATAAGAAACTACGCTTAGTATGACTCAGATCAACGTAACTGCGTCCTAGTGATCACATCCTATGATCTAT